CTTGGGGCAATGTGTGCCCATCATCCTGCAATGGGCAATACAGAGAGAGGACCAGAAGTTTTCTCTCTTGTTATATAGCTACATAATATCCTTGATTTTACCTCTTGGCCTGCAAAGCCCCAAATATTTGTGATCTGGCCCTTTACAGAACAAGTCTGCCAACCCATGAGCTATAGGGTAATCTGTAAGATGGTGGAGTGTGGAGTTAGGTGAGCTGGGTTCATCCACTTCCCACTGGCGTGACCTTGGGCAAGGTCCTTAACTTCTTTGAGCCTGTTTCCTCACCTGTAAGACTGAGTTCATAGGGATAGCAACTGCTGCATGTATATGTATGTTAGATGACTTGCGAACAATAACCTATCAGGCAATGTGAGCAGATTTAGCAATTTCTGCATGTAATAAATAGTCCCAGATGTATGTCATCAAACAGCATTTACTGAGTCCCTTTTCTGGGCCAGGCCCTTTGCCAGGCCATGGTCTGGAAGGGAAGACAGATTTGCTAAGAAAACAAAGACAATGCAGTATGTCAGTTGCTCTAACAGGACACAGCTGTGGGACAAAGGCGAGTGTGTCCAAGTCCCTCTTTGTAGGTTCAGACAAGGTTTCACTGATGAAATGAGCCTTGAACCGGCAGGCAGATGAAGGTTATATCTGGCGGAGGGAACTGCACATACAGAGGCATGACGGCTTACATGAACTGCACATTTCTGTTGGTGGCTCGGCAAGAGTTAGATAGGCCTTGAGTCTAAGTAGGAGGTGTTTGGAAGATGAGGCTGAAGAGGTAGGCAGGCCCCAGGGCCTGGGGGGCCTTATATGCTATCCCAAGAGTTTGGGGGTGTCTCCTGTAGGTGTTGGAGAGCCACTGGAGAAAGCTGAACAACAAAAAAGGATCAAGATCAAAATATGCCTTTCAGAAACATCGCTCTGGCTCAGTGTGGAGAGCAAACCGAGGAGCAGTCAGGAGGCTGCGACACACTCAAGAGAAAACTGGTGAAACCGAATGAAGGCAGTGGGCAATGAGAATGAAGAGAGGCAGGTGGCTGGGCTATGCAGGAGGTAGGACTGAAAGGCAAGAGCCACCCAGGAAGTCCCCAGGTTTTTGGCTGGGGCAGCTAGGTGAGAGTAAGACTATAGCTACAATAGAGGAGGCAGGGAAACGGAGCAAGGTAAGAAGCTCTGGAAAAACAATTCCGAGTTGAGTCTGTGGCCACGCCCCCAGAATGAAGACAGAGCTGCAGCCCTCTGCTATGTTTCCGCTGGGGAAATAAGCACCACCACCACATTTCCCAGGCAGTGCCCTTCGGGGGGGCCAGGAGGGGTTTGAAGAAACAGGGGACTTTTTTCTTCTCCCTCTGTTCACTTACTATGGCTTTTAGGTGAGTGTGCAGATTCAATGCAGGGAAACCTGTGGTTAACGCACTTTTCTAGCAGGAAACCCAAACGAGAAGGGTGACCCAGGCCGATGGCCAGCACCGGTTCAGACTAGCCCTCCAGGATTCTTACGTTGCAGAGGACCCTGAGCCTTTGATGTGGGGGCTCAATTTCAGGCCCTCTCTGCAAGATCTCATCTGACCAAAGTGTGACTAACTCCAGTTTTTTTTTAGTCATTATTGTGAATTTACTCCTAAGGATTCTTTAGAGAAAGGAAAACCCTTTTGGGTTTTTCATATTTGGAATAATCAGGGACCGTTTCTTACATGTGCCTAGTCCTTCACAGCTTACAGAGTGCTTTCTCAGCCACGGTGATTTGCTATTTACCTCAAAACAGGGCTTATTTTTCCATTCTGTGGGTTTTGAAACAAGACTCGGAGTGAAAATGGCTTTTTCAAGATCCCATAGCTAGAAAGCATAAAATTATTCACCCATATTTGATAATATTCCATATTCGCAAAACAATGAGGAAATGGGAGTTTCGGATACTAATGGTGAGGGTATAAACTGGTCTGGTCTTTTCATGAGGGCTCCCTGCCAGTAAGTATTAAGTGTGGTTACCAGTTACCTGGCAGCTACACTTGTGGGTTCCTGTCTTAACTTCAACTCCCCTTAGACATCAGAGCTTGCACGCAGGGAGCTGGGAAAAGTCAACCAGTTGAAATGAAGGTCAGTACAAGGGCACGTTATCCAAGCTGGTCACCACCGCCTGCAACTAGGGCTTGATCCTGCTGGTACCCTCTAAAGATACATTGAGAATGTCTAGGAGAAAGAAGAGAGAGGCATTTATTCACAGGTTCCCACCCTACATTGGTCAATGATTGTCCCATAAAATGTTCACTCTTTCACACCTCCAGGTTTGCCAAGTGGATTCCCAGAGGGATCCCAAGGAGGTATTCATGTAGTAATCATATACTTCAAAGTAAAAAAGTCTGGGGAGGACCCTGGGCCCGGGGACTGGAGTTGGCCCTGGAACATGGATCTCCAAAGTGAGGACTAATTTTCAGAGTCTGACGGGTAGGGCTCTGTGGAACCGGAATCATGGAGAATAGAATCCAGCCCCTGAAGGTGGGGAGAGAGGCCTGGCAAGAGATAGGCAGGATGCCTTAGTTTTCTGCCATTGGAGACTTCCCATATTCCATAGCACAGGGGGCAGAAAACATCTGATAACCTGCAAGGCAGTGCTACCAATGCTCAGAAAGCAGCAGAGACAAGGCCTGCCATGCTCAGGCCTGGGGCCAAATACAGAAAGTTAAACAAGTGATTATGAAAAAACAGTGGTTCTCCAATTTTGTGGGCATGAGACTCATCTGGAAGCTTAATAGAGATTTAAATTTCTGGGCCTCACTCCCCAAAATTCTAATTTGGGTCTTTTTATTTTTTTTTAAAGATTTTATTTATTTATTTGTCAGAGAGAGAGAGAGAGCAAGCCCAAGCAGGGAGAGGGGCAGGCAGAGGGAGCGGCGGGCAGAGAGAGAAGCAGGCTGCTTGCCGAGCAAGGAGCCTGATGCGGGACTCTGTCCCAGGACCCTGGGATCATGACCTGAGCCAAAGGTAGATGCTTAAGGACTGAGCCACCCAGGCACCCCAAAATTCGCTCTGTTTTAATGAGCTTACTCATAAGACTTTTTAAAAAGGCCTTTCTGACAATTGTTTCATTAACTCAAGAGTAGAATTTGGTTTTGTTTTTCTCTATGTTAAAATGACAAACTAGTCTTGGAATATTCAGTTGTTTTTGGGTTTTTTTGTTTTTGTTTGTTTGTTTTAGAAAGGCAGACTGCCACATGTAGCACCTCATTTGGATGTGTCCGGAGTTTTGGAAGTTTGACTACCCTATGTTCCCCAGAAATGGACCTTGAGAGCTTGTGTGGAGGTTCTAGCAGGGGAGTGAAGCTTCTCATATATCCTTGATCCAAGAATGGTCCTTCTCTGTGGGAGAAGGTCATCCTCTTTCACTGTGCTCAGCTTCGGGAGGAATGCACTAGGAGTGGTGTGGGAGGAAGGGGACACCCACATAGCCAGCCAGATCAGCCGAATCAACCCTGGCGATCAATGGGGTGATATGTCGCAGCCAGACTGCACTCATATCCTTAGTTTCTTCTTAACAAGAGCTAGTGAGGGGCACCTGGGTGGCTCAGTCAGTTAAGCATCTGCCTTCAGCTCAGGTCATGATCCCGGCGTCCTGGGATCAAGCCCCATGTCTGTCTGGCTCCCTGCTCAGCATGGAGTCTGCTTCTCCCTCTGCCCCTCCCCCTGCTCGTGCTTGCACTCTCTCTCTCAAATAAATAAAAAATCTTAAAAAAATAAGAGATAGTGGAAGTTATTTTTAATTTCTATATAATCTGCCCAAATAGCAGATATTATATATCTGATCAGCATAACTTCTCTGTGTTTTGTGCTTTGTCATGCCCTTGATTACTTAAAAACAAAACAACAGAAGTTCCTCATTTCTTAAATAGCTAAAGTTCCTTATAATGATACCTATGGTTATATTTATTTAGTACTAGTGTATTGTTAATCTGATTAATAGACAGCCAAGCTACAACCATTCATCGTTCCCAGGCATCTATGCTTCTGTCTTAAGCTAAGGAGGATTCTTTTTTGAAAATTCTTTTTAACATTACCTTCCCAGGATCAGTTCAATAGTTTATAAAAATGCAATGTGTTTTTACCTATCAAAGCATCTTTGGTGCTTCCTACATAGCTAAAATACCAAAGGCTTGGTCTCTCACCTTGTAACCCATGATGTGTCATTCACAATCAGGAGGGATAGTAGGTAAAGAATTAGTTAGGTATGTTTGAAATGCTCCCTATGTCTTAATTGGCTCACTACTGTTATAGGATTCACATTATATACTAAACCCACAAAATGGGATAAGCTGTCCAATCAAAAAAGTACATTCTAACTTCCCCATGTTTATTTTTAAAAGTAGATTTGTCTGGGGGGGGTGCCTGGGTGGCTCAGTCAGTTGAGCGTCCAACTCTTGATTTTGGCTCAGGTCGTGATCTCAGGGTTGTGAGATTGAGCCCCTTGTCGGGCTCCGCGCTGGGCATGGAGCCTGCTTAGGATTCTCTCTGCCCCTCCACATCTCTGAAAAAAAATAAAAAAATAAAAATAAAAGTAGATTTGTCTATGTACCCATGTCCACAGTACACTCTTGAGGAAACACTGACAAAAACCATAACCCAGTAGGATTTTACTCTCCTCTATTCTGATATGGTTGTCTAGCCTAATAAGTTAACAGAGGCTTCAGTCTAATCAACAACAAGTAGTTTTTGCTTTCTTTACGTGTGTACCTGAAGTCCTCTGCTGCATGCTAAAGCATCCTCAACAAAGGACAGGCCCAGCAACTTGGTGAGAAAGATTGTACCAGGCACTCTTAACTGGAATAGATTTACAGGGTCAGGCTTCTCACCATAAGCTAACATTGCGACCACACACAGCTATCTATAGATTGAAACACAGGACTGAATCAGGATTGCTCGGACTCTTTTTAGTCCAGAAACAAACAACTTTATGGAAGTACACTGTTGATCCAAAGTTTATGAGTCAAGAATCAATCACATGAGCCAAATAAGTTCATGAGAAGAATATAATTGTGGTTATTTGTTTTAGAATATTATTAGATTGTTTTTAATGCTTTGTATTTGATGTGCTTATAAGGAAGTCCTTTCCCCCCATTTTTTTTCTTTTCTGCTTTCTTCTCAATCTGTCTATAAGGCTCAAGTTAGCAGGCTATGCTTATGCAAACTAAAAGGAAATATTTTTTAATGATATCTTGTTCCCACTGATCCCTCAGAATTCAAGAGTGAGCACTTTACTGAGTCTCTAGCGATGTAACAAGAGTTGTACTTCCCGTGTGTACAGTGACCTCCCAGGAGACTGGTCTGGTGGAGCCTATTTCATGGCTCCCAGGGTCCCGACATTATGCAGGTAAGATAGTGAGAAAGTTCACTTGCTGACAGGTCACCAACCTTAGCAAATATTGGGGACCTTGAGAAAGGATGAAGTCTCTTACTTTTAGGGACTGCAAGTAGAGCCTGATAGAGATTAACTTTTTAGCTTTGGTTTTCTGTTATTGGAAAAATGAGCAAAGACATTAATCATTGAATAATTAAAATATTAACACTAGAAAACATCCACTTGATACAAAAGAAAGTGGCAAAGAAGGAATAAAACCAAAAAATACATATGAGATATAAAAAACAAAAAATGAAATGGCAGATGTAAATTCAACTCTATTGATGATAATATTAAGTGTAACTGAGTGACACAGTCCAATCAAAAGGCAGAGATTTTAGACTAGAGAAAATAAAAACAGAATCCAACTATATGCTATGTACAAGAGGCGCACTTCCGATTCAAAGACCCAAATAGGTTGAAAGTAAAAGGACAGAAAAGATATATGACTCAAAGCAACAGCAACCATAAGAAGGCTGGAGTGGCTGTATTACTAACAGGAAACAAACTTCTAAACAAAATGTTACTAGAAACAAGGAGGCACATTTTGTAATGATAAAAGTGACAATCCATGAGGAAATTATAAACATATATGCACCCAGCAGCACACACACAACCATAAAGGCTGATAGAATTGAGGGGAGAAAGAGACAATGTGATAATTTTCAGGGACTCTCATACCTCACTATCAATATTGGCTAGAGCAACTGGACAGAAGATTAACAGGGAAACAGAAGAATTGAACAGCATTATACACATGATCCAAAAGGCAGATCTACCCAACGACGAAAGAATACCCATTCTTCTTATGTGCACACAGAATATTAGACCATATTTCAGGCCATGATGTAAGTCTCAATAAATTTAAGTTGACTGAAATCTTACCAAGCATGTTCTCTAATCAGGACAGCATGTGATTGGAAATGAATAACAAAAAGAAACTTGGGATATTAACAAATACATGGAAATTAAACAGCATACTACTAAATAACCAGTGTATCAAAGAAGAAATCACAAAAGAAATTAAAAAATGCTTTAAGATGCATGAAAATGAAGACACAACATACAATAGCCTACAGAATGCAACTTAAAGCAGCAGATAGAGGAAAATGAATAGGTATAAATACCTATATTAAAAAAGAAGAAAGATCTCACATAAACAACCTAAACTACCACTTAAGACACTGGAAAAAGAAGGGCAAACTAAACCAAAAGGAAGAGAAGGAAGGAAATGATAAGAATTAGAATGGATATTAATGACATAGAGGATAGAACAAAAATTAAGAAAAATCAATGAAACCAAAAGTTGCTTCTTTGAAAAGATCAACAAGACTGACAAAGTTGTAGCTATACTAAACAAGAAAAACAGAAAATCAAATGACTAGGGTCAGGAATAGAAGAGGGGGCATTACTACCGACCTCTCAGAAATAAAAAGAATTACAAGGAAATACCATGAGCAACCCTGCCAAAAAATTAGGTAACTTCGATGGAATGGACAAATTCCCAGAAAAACATAAACTACCCAAACTGACTCAAGGAGGAACAGAAAAATCTGAATAGACCCATAACAAGTAAAGAAATTAAATTGGTAATCCAAATGTATGATCTCTCTAGATAGATAGATATCAGAAAACAAACAAACAAACAAAAAACCTCTAAAAAGGAAAACCCAGGACCAGATGTTTCACTAGTGAATTCTAACAAATATTAAAGAAGAATTAATACCACTTCTTGACAAACTCTTCCAACGAACATAAGAGAAATGAATACTTCCCAATTCATTCTATGAGGCCAGT